AGTGAAATATCTTAGTGAAGAAAATAGATATAATATGGGGCCTTTTTCAGAGTGATATATTTAGCAGAGAGAATGGAATGAAATTTTAAATATTTCTTCTGGCAAATGAATTTCAAGGGGTGCAGTGAGGGTGCAAATTCAATTAAAAGTGGAATAGTTTTGACTGGATGGATGAAATTGAAATGGTTTGATAGGGTAGGAAGGTGTGATTTTAGTGAAAATTATAAAAAGCCAAAAGAGAGAAGTGGCTGTGCAGTTTTTGCACAGCCACAAGATACATTTTTTGATAGAAAGAAAGTGGAAGGTGAGAAAGTCAGGAGAAGAGGTTAGAACTGAAGTGGAGAAGGACTTGAGAAGACAACTAGACAACTAGACAAGGGAAGAAGCAAAAATGGAAAACTAAGGAACTAAAAAAAGTGAGAACTGAAGTTTGAAGTCTCAGTTGAGAATCTAAGAAGGTCAACTAGACAACTAGACAATGCAACAAGGCAACTACATGACAAGGCGACAACTAGACAAGGCAAGAAAGGAGGTGACAAGGCAAGAAGAGGACAAGGGAAGAAAGCAAAAATGGGAAACTAAGGAAGTAAAAAAGTGAGAACTGAAGTTTGAAGTCTCAGTTGAGAAGCTAAGAAGGTGAACTAGACAACTAGACAAGGCAGAAGCGGACAAGGTGACAAGGTGAGAATGGGACAAGACAACAAGACAACAAGACAATGTTGTGGTTATTTTCTTCATTTCTATTCAATCTGCACTTCCACTTAGTGTCATGTGACTGATGAGTCGCTCTTTACTGTTCTTACTTGTGTAATAACACTAAAGTCAACTCAGACTGAGGTATCTGCTGAGATACAATAGACAAGGCTGGTGGCAAAAATGCAGAACTGTGAAGTAAAAAAAGTGGGGACTTGAGTTTGAAGTGTAAAACTGAGAAACACGATACGTCTATTGTGATGTATCAGCTCTCAGTGCAAGTCCTATCCTTATATACACTTAATGTCAGTTCTATGCCAAAACGCGAGCGGTAGCCAAAGCGTGAAAACAAAGGGCCAAAGCGACATTATGTTCACCGTCGATTGCCCCAAAAGCGCCTCCTTCCCAAAGCTCTCAAAGCACAAATGTACGGTCCTGGGACCGCCAGTGGCATCGGGCTGTAACTTCCAACATGAAGTTGAGAAGGTGAGAATGGGACAATGGGACAAGAGGACAAGGCAAACAAGGCAACAAGGGAAGAAGACAAGAAGACAAGAGCTGGACTCGGGAAGAAGCAAAAAAAGGTTTGGAACTGTGGAACTGTGGAACTTGGTGAGGGACAGGAGAAGGGGACAAGGGGACAAGGGGACAAGTAGACAAGGAAGTAAAAAAAGTTAAGAAGGTGGTGGGGAAGAAGAAGTGGATAAGTGGGTAAGTAGAGAACTGTGGAACTGTGGAGACCCGATAAGCGGACAAGGGACAAGGGGACAAGTAGACAAGGGGACAAGTAGACAAGTAGACAAGTAGACAAGTTTTGGTTGAAGCTGAGAAGAACTTAAGAAGGTGGGATGGAAGAAGGGAAGAAGAGGTTGGGAGGAGAAGAAGTGGGTAAGTAGAGAACTGTGGAACTGAGGAGTGGATGGGATAACCCGAGAACTGGACAAGGGGAGAAGTAGACTAGACCTGGGGACTGTGGAACTGTGGAACTTGGGAGGGGACCCGACAAGCAGATCGCATTGGGCATTGGAGAACCACAAAGGACCCAGGAAGATGGGGACGATATGGACCTTTACTCGTGATCTTCTCTCCTACATGATTGCTTGTGCACATCAGCCTTTTGTATCTCCTTCTAATTCTCTGGGATGAATTATTTTCGTTTGGTTTCTAAGATATAATGGTCTGTTCGCTCCAATACCGACATCTTACCTCAGTATATCCCTTGGGATGGAAGGAAACCGTTCTGGCCGACTCCCCGAAAACTCAGGGAAGAAGAGGGCTAGCCAACATTTTGGCAACGAATCCAACTACTCAATGGAACGATTTTTCCTTTGCCAATCAAGCCTCTCGTTGCACCCCAGAGTGCAAAGACTCCAAGGGGGAATCTATATCAAACAGCTTCATCGTGTCAAGGAAAAGTTCTGGAACAAATGGCTTTGGGTAAGCCTCCACCATCGATGGTGGTAAGGTTCAGATGCCATTGGGTTGGTCCATGCACAGGGAAACTCGATAACAATTTCCTAAAATTCCAAGACTTCCTTGCAACGGAACTTTTCTGAGGCTGGCTCAAACCGAGGTATTCATGTGGTCCCATGACATGCATATTCTGTTCCAATTGGGATGAGTGCATGGGCAAGAGGGTTCCAACCGATTCGATGCATTCATTCATTCCTCATGATGTGCAAGGGCCCATGTATTTATTGTGAAAAGTTCATGAGTACAGAGGTGATGGCAACAGGCTCAGGATGGAAGCCCAATGAAGCCAGGAATCGTCGGATGCCTCTCTCTGGGGGCTGTACTTGTCCTTGTTGCCTCAGCTCCACTCGAAAACCCATTGCCTCCAGTTTTCCTGCAGATCCAGCATCGACCCAGTCGAACACACAGACCATATCCTCCAGCAATGGGAGGCGAAGAGATCGCTGCTCCTTCCACTTTTCCAAATTGTGGTTCATGAGGACTCTAACCGACTCGTCGCCACTCCAATCGTCCATGTCCAGCCTCAATGCTTCCAAGCTCCCTGGAAGAACGCTGAACAGGTCGACTTGTCCACCCTGAGAATCCTGCAAGAACGAACAAGGGATCCCAAGGGATCTCAAGGATGTGAAGTCCGAAAGGGGGAGAGGTTCCCAGCGCGTCGATGATAGCCGTGTCTGCCATGGCACGGAGATCAGCAGCTTCTTCAAAGTCTTGGAGTGCCATCCGAGCATCCGGAGCGCTCCCTCTTCCATCTCCTCATCCTCCCACACAAACTCCTCGAGTGACCGAGCCATCCCGACGACGTCGACAACACCCCTTGCATCCCCATAATGGCCATAGACGCGAAGGGTGAGGTTTTTGAACGAGAACTGCTTCCTATGATCCCGCCTCCAATGCCAGTCCTCCATGATGAACCCACACAGCGAGATGGTAGAGAGGTTTGGGAGACGAACGAAAGGCATGATGTCGTCATCCTGAACCCATCCCAGAAGAGGGAGATTTCCCTCAGAGAACGAAGGCCTGCAGGGATCCTTTGGCCAACCCATTTGGTCAGATCTCCTGGCCCATGCCAGACATAAGGGGATTCTGGGATGCGAACGCATAGGACCTCAAGTTGGGGACCAAATGGAGCATCAACGCAAAGTATGCATGGCACGACCCAGAGATGGCGAGAGGGTCTACACCCATCTCTTCCCCAGCTTGTTGGATGGAGTCGACTTCCTCTGGATCGACTGTGGGCTGACCCCAATGGTCCCACTCTATCTCTGCCCTGTGGACCAACGCGCCCAGATCTGGTCGAACCACGAGGGTACGAATGAATTGATGAAGGTTACCGATGGAAACGGACTTGTAGATGTGTGGCTGAACAGTGGCATGGAGACGCTGGGAGACCTGGGAAAGTGCGATGAGGGCCTGGAGCATGCCAGTGCAATGCTCTGCGATTTCATAAAGAGTTTCGTTTGGAAGGGCATTCATCCTATGGGCAGCCTGTGTCAGCGATGGACTCCCTCAAAGGGGTCCCAAACTCACGTGTAGAGGGAGTGAAGAGGAAGTGGTAAAGAGGAAACAGAGGCAGTGGATCCCCCCCTTTATATACCTTTTGGATCTGCAAATCAGGTGATCAAGTAAATATTTTCTTGATCATGTGGCACCAAGTGAGGGGATATGTAAGCAGGAACCCCACTCGTTAACCTAACCACATGTAAAATCCCCTGCAAACTCCTATCCCTGGTGAGAGAGGCACCTTGAGTCCGATGTAACGATTTTTTTCCATTTTCTCCATCATTTATTCATCGATGCCATGTGTGTTGATGTGTGACATCCAACTTGACCACATGATCAAGAAAAATTTATCTTGATCATGTGCTCATATGAAAAATTTATCTTGATGGCATTATGCACTGCCTTGACCACATGATCAAGAAAAATTTATCTTGACCATGTGATCAAGAAAAATTTATCTTGATGCATAAGGTGGGAGCACTGCCACGTTTCCTTCAATATGAGTTGCCACCTTTCATAGGGAATCACATCACAGAATCACATCACAGAATCACATCACAGAATCACATCACAGAATCACATCACAAAATCACATCACAGAATCACCATCACAGAATCACATCACAGAATCACCATCACAGTCACAGAATCATCATCACAGTCACATCTAATAATGGTATATAAGACCCACTTGCCCATTATTTTTCCTCCAGTTATGGCTTCCACCTCCAACCCTTCCACCTCCAACACTTCCACCTCCAACACTTCCACCTCCAACACTTCCACCTCCAACACTTCCACCTCCAACCCCTCTAACCCTTCCACCTCCAACACCAACCCCATGTCCCAGGCTGAGTATGATGCATTGAAGCATGCATCATTCAAAGGGTTTGCAAAGGCATGTCAAGTTTTTTTTCCCTTTTTTTTTGTTTCTCTTCCAACCCTTCCAACTCTCATAGGTCCCATTGTCCAGAATGGACCTCCTGCCACACAACCGTGAGGTCAGCTGGCATTGGGTGGCAGAGCACCACCGCTCCTGGGGCCACATGGTGACAAAGGACATCGAGCAGTACGCCATGGCTGGGCTCCTGCCCACAGACGAGTCCATCGAGGTGGATTCAAACGGGTTCTTGGCTGGAGACGAACCAATCCAGATCATCCATGGGCAGCACCGCAAGGCTGTGCTGCAAGTGGTGATCGCCGTGGAGCTTGGGCATATCCAGGACCTTCCGGTCAAGGAGCACGAATGCCAGGGTCTGTCGGCCACCCAGATCCAATCGATCCATGCGTCCTCCAATGCATGGTGGTTGGTGGCGTTATACGGAAAGAGTAAGTATATCTACTATGCATTGCATTCGCTAACCACATGATTGCAGAGGTCTCTGAGGACGGGATCATGTTTCGATCCTGGTTGTTGGAGGATAACCTTCAACAGGCCAAAGCGCCTCTGACATGGGCGGACTTCATGCCCGTGGTGCTGGACGTACTCGAACAGGACCCGCCCCCAACCCCAGATGCGATGAGGAGCTTCACGGCTCGGTTCCACAGCGACAAACAGCTGTCTGCGATCAAACCGTGCCTGAAGTCTGGCGCCCTGAGGCGGATGTTCAGAATCCTGCACCGGATACCTTGGTTCCGTGCAGAACACAGGGGAATAGCGTTCAAGCCTTGGCACAACCAAGGAATGCACAACGTGAGCGATGATGATCTCTATGATATCTTCTGCTCACCGCTTTGTGGATAGTTCTTTGCAGCTGCCACAGAAATCTGTCTGTGGCAGTTGATTCCGATGGTGACCCGTGGTGAGAGAAGGTCCCAGTGGACGCCATCGAACGTCCCTCAGGAGTGGTGGGGAGAGATGACAAAGGAGAGGCTGGTTGCAAAGGGATCCAGCACGGTGGCATGGGTCGACCTTTGCCAACGAACGAAGCTTGCAACGGGGACGTGTCCATGGGAGAGGGTGGAGGAGGCGAGGTACGTGCCAGCAGGGTTCGCTGGGAACCTGCTGGAGCCACGTCCGATCGTTGGAGAAGGATGGAGCTTCTTCAGGTTGATGGTGAGTTTGTCGTTGCATCAAAATATGACATGATGACGATGATGAGAACAGTGGGTGAGCCCAGAGTCGCTGATCCACAGTGGGTCGATGGTTTTGGACCAGTTGAGGATGCTGGAAAGGATGTTCCAGATGGTATGTGTGACATTGGTTTGGGATTCACAGGATCATCATATATGATAGGTGGCGGCTACCCTGGAGACGAGAGAGGAGGAGAGCAGTGCAAAGAAGTTGCGAGGGCATGGAGGGTCGAGGGGAGAGTACAACTACTTCCCAAGCGACCCACATGAATTGTTTTGGGAGGAAAGACTGAGGTACCTGTGTCAAAGGTACCAAAGGATGAGGCGCAAGTGGACGGTAACAAGGTATGATGGTCGCTGTGTGGATGTGCATGAATTTTAATAGTTTAATAATTTACAGTTGGTGGAAGAGATCGTCGTGCGGTTCGATGGGCTCCAAAAGGGAGTCAAGAGCACATGGCTTGGAGCGGACCCAGATTGGAAGGCAGTATCGATCACAGCCTTTCGTGAAGAGGATGCGTGGTACGAGCTGTTTTGGGATACCTTTGTGCCAAGAGGGCACAAAGGAGAGTTTGGATTTCAGAGTGGGATACGACTGCCACAACGC